TATTGTTTTTTTTATTGTTTTAGATCTTCTTATAAAATTAAAATGTAATTCATTCATTTTAACACCATAAATATTATTTAATACATCAATATTTTTTTTGTTTTTTTGTTTTTTAGACATAAATCTACTACTTGACAAGAGGAAGTGTGTTGATGGCTTGACCATTAAATGATCCCCTTTTTTCATGAGTCTAACAACCCCTGTTTCTTGAGCAAATGAAACTTTTAAATTTAAAGGTAATATATTATACACATTATGCCATTCTTTGCTTGATCATCATCAAAATCATGATGAGAAGAGTTGAGGCAGTGTAAGCTCTATAGGTTAGCAAAAGATAATTTTCTTCTCAACTATGTTGGCATTCTACTTTACTATAAGAGTTTTCTATTTATATACAACTTTTTTTTGTAAACATTTCCCATTTAAAATGATTTATTCATCAACCAAAGAATGATATACTCTACTATGTTCTTATTAACTCTGGAACCAACTTTCCAAATTCTCCCCACACATCCAAATTCTCAATACACTATATTACCATCATAAAAGAGCCTCTTTTAAAATAACCAAAAATGCTTATCATTGATGTGTTATTTTTAGCGTTTAGAAAAATAAATTATGGCTACAATCATTCTATGACAATGAGTGTAAAATAAAATATGAATATATCATAAATGGAGTACAAATAAACACTACATAAACATAAAAAGAGAACAAACTAAGAGAAGTGAGGGGAAGACCTTGCCCACCATTTAGACACACATGGCAACATATGTAATAAATTACACCTATAAGCCTTTTTATAATCCCAAGTATATTTGTGCTCTCAATAATTAAATATAACAACCTTTCGCAATATAAATTAACTCTCGACAATAAGCTTCACTTCACATGCATCTTTAAATGAGTCACTCATTAAAAAAATAGTCATCATCGATAGGATATTTTGATAGAAGAAATCTCTTTCTCATATTGTAAGTGCTCGTGTGCTTGGTTCCCAAGAAAGAAGCCATACACATCGTAAGATAAAATCATAATATAATTCAAGACGATCATTGCTTTCTATCTTACGATGTGTATGGCTTCTTTCTTGATAACCAAGCACACAGGCAATTACAATATGATCATCTTAAATTATATTATGATTTTATCTATATTCTATAATGCAATAGGTTTTCAATCTAAGGCGCCGTTTGATGCATTTTTTATAAAATAGAAATTATTTTGTGTATTGAGATCTTATGCAATGCTTCCAAAATCAGAATCCTAGACATTTGCAACATGCAAATTCATCACAAAATTGGTCATAAATACCTATTCTTTATTGATTTTTATGTCAAAGTGATGGTCAGTATTTTGTTTGTAGCAACTTATTTATTTATTTATTTTTGTGACCAGTATTATCCTTTCAATATATGTTGCAACATAAATATTTCACAAATTGGTTGTTGAAAACATAGTCAATGGTTACACGCATGGAGACGTTGCGATTGCAATGTTCTATTTGGACAACTTTTAACTACTTTATTTCTTTTATCTACAGATATAAACCAGCTAAAACAACATGATATGATATATATTCTATTACTATTCACGACTATGTATTAAGATTCATAGAGCACAAATAAAACAATCATCCCGAAATGAATAAACTACAAAATAACTAAATCAATTTTTGCATACATTAGTTCTAACGATATTATATATAACAATTCTGCAATATTTTCATATAAATAACAGAACAACAACTTATGATTAATGTATATAAGTGTACTAATCATGGTCATCTTCAACATTTCTCACGACAACCTACTACTATTAAAGCTTCAACATGGAACAGATGAACCCATTGACCACATATTGTGTAGCCCTTTAATGATAATCTTCCCCTGCATTATTATGATGAGGATGAAAAAGTATTTCGTCTCATGAACTGTACGTCAGGACAACGACAGGAATCAAACCACACCACCATGTATTTCACGTGGTTGGATTCGCACCTTTGTCCAGACATGTGCACATATACAGACAAAATAATTTCTCGATGTGGATGGGCACTATCTTCCATCCTTTCAATTACTTCCAAATTTATATTTATGACCCTTTCTCATTCCTCCTATCTCTTCCATCCATGCATGTCACAGTTGACAAATGCTTAGTATAACAGTTCTATCATATTCTATAATTATATTCCTCATTTTTTACATAAATATCAAAAATAAATTGATATTTTTATTTATTTAAGTTTGAAATAAAATTTATTTTGTTATACTTGATACTTGCTTAAAAATTTATTTTAATGATGTGCAAATCTCGGAGCATTTCAATTATTAAATATTCTAAATTTAAATTCAAGATCATCTAGAGCTTCGATTCTAGCAAACTTATAGTTAAACTGACCATCTTGATAATGTGATCCCAATGAAGCCAAAATTGGTTCAATCTGAGTTTGATCAAGCCTAGATCAAATCCTTTAAATGCAATTGGAGGCGTGGATAGGTAATTAAATGGTTAAATGAGTTCTAAATTTGACAAGTTTATAATCAAATCAAGTGTCGCATCAAGCAAAATCCTACGGGCTATAGGTCCAAGTTCACTTGATTTTGACATGATTAGGGCACTCAAGTACTTATGAAATACCATTCGATCAAAGGGATCACTCTAGGAGTTTCAATGGAGTGGTTCAGATTCATTTAGTATTTACAAAATGCCCCTCACAAAATCTATAGATAGACGCCCACTCTCTTTATGATGGGAGACCAGAACCTGGAGGAGAATGCTAAAGGAACTAGCTCCAAGCTTTTAAGGATTCTTGAGCTGCACTACCGCTAGATTGTCATCGATTAGCCCTTACTAATGTTAGATCACCTTACCGCCATATCACCACCGTCAAGCCCCCGCCACCACCATTCTTCAGTTGCTCGGGCGCTATTGTTGTATGGTCGTCGTCACCGCCGGACCACTATTGCCCTCACCAGACTATCACTGTCTGACTGTTGTCACTGCCAAACTATCCTTGTCTAGTTGTTGCCGTTTTCAGACTACGGCTATCCGACCACCACCATCGAGTTGTAGACACCGCTAGACCATTGTCACTGCGATAAGACCACCTCCATTCGACAACTGCTCGTTATCTAGCTCTGCGACTGCTACCTAGCCAAAACCGTCAAGTCGTCGTTGACTTATTAATCCACCACTCCCCTAGTAAAAGTCACGTAAATAACCCTCTTGTAATATTGCTTCTTTCTAGTTAAGAATCAGTAAATTTTTTAATCTATATCGACATAGTAGAACTATTTAAATTAGACTAAGCCTTGTGATTTTTTTCTTTCGGGTTTTCCACATAAAGATCCGTGGCGTCTCATCTATCAACTCTTCCTTTATTTGGGTGATGGATTATTGTATAATGCCAAGACGTTAACCTATTCCCTCTACTACCTCTAATTCTCCGACACATAACGATATTTACAATAACAACTTGTGATTAAGCATCAAAGAATTAATTATATTTACAATAAAAAAATTTGGCCAAGATGAGCACTATTGATTTATTAGAGATTTGCGACTAATGCTTATAACCGACTACAAATCTCATTGCAAATCTATGGTAACCCTATAAAATTTTAAGAACAAGTGCAAAGAATGATATACCTAACACAAATTGAATTTTAGGTAAATTCAACAGACTCTGTGGTTTACAATGTGACAGTCGGTGGCAACTATTTCATTGTATAATTAATATTAAGGCATAGTTTTACTAAAATAAAATAATCACAAGTATGATTAGAAAGTTCAATAACATTTCTTTTGCCTTAAGAAACTTTAATTTCCATTTAATTTGTAAGTCAGATTTAGTAAGAACATGATTAAAGTATTGTCAGTTAATTTTTTTCAAAAAGATGATTAAACCAATAACCCATTCTAAATTTTAATTAAGATAAAGCATCACTAAGCACAAAATTCAAATAACGCCAATCTTACATCCTTCCCACTAGGGTTGTTCAGCTCGTTTATATTTCGAGCTCAAAAAGTGTGTTTGTGTTCAGGTCGCCGAACACAAGTTGTTCACAAACAAAGAGTCGTTTTGACAACCCTAATCACGTAGCTATAAGATGTTAAAGGTTGTGGCAAGTTTTAAAATTTTTTGTTTATATTAAAACATCATTTGAATCTAATTTACAAATTTTTATTCTACTTTATTAATTAATACTTTTAATTGATTATAAATCTTTGTAGCCTTATAGTCAATTAAATTTTCTAAACATATTATTCATCAATATATATATATATAATTGATGAGTAGTATTTCGAGCCAAAACGAGCCGAACACGAACGAACAAATTTTTATTCGTGTTCGGCTCATTAACTTAGCGAACGAGTCGAACTCGAGTTGTTTGTGAATAATGAGTTGTTTTGACGACCCTACTTCCCACAAAAGAATCCCCAAACATGAATGATTTACATACATACCACACAATTCCTATGTATTTACATATATACCTAACTCCTAACCTTCAATTTTTTCATACATATGACATCTTATCTATAGATGAAAATATACAATTGACTAATTTTTAAAAATTAAAATAATAATATTTCTTAAGTAAAATTAAAGATTTGGCTGGTATGAAAGTAAAAAAGTGAAGTATCGGTGTTCAATATGTAAATACATAGGAATTGGACTAACAAAGTCCCAATTCCTTATACAAAGCCATTTAGTAGATATGGATGGCACCTTGTCTCACTTCATAACGCTAGCTAGTGCACCCCACGTTCATGAATGATCACTAAAAAAACTTAGAAAAAAAAAATTTAATTCAACAAACAGCACAATTAAAATCACATTAACGTGCGTGCATTATGTACCATATATAAAATATAAGCTTCCACCATATATAAAAGGACCAATATGGCTCGTTCCGATATACCATAATACAATGGGTCTCTCTCTTTCTTTTCATCTTTTCCTTTGCCTTGTATCCTTCTTCATCATGGCTGCAATGGCACCTGCTGCAGCTCAGGGAACGTTAGAGGACTCAGCTGAAGAACTCTCCTTTGGGTACTATGCCAGGAGTTGCCCTAACATGGAGGCCATTGTACACAAGAAGATGAAAGATTGGACTGCTCGTGATTCCACTCTTGGTCCTGCCATCATTCGGCTGCACTTTCATGACTGCATCGTTAGGGTGATCTTCTTCTTCTTCTTCTGGTTCTCTGCTTCTTCTTCGATCTCCTTCTTTTCCTCCTCCTACTCTTTCTTCATGTCTTAACTTTACATGAGTGCGTTCTCATTGATAGGGGTGGACCCAGATAGGGTTCTGAGGAGCAATTACTCCCGTTAAATTCAAATTTTTATTTATATTTGTCATTCCTATAATATCAATTTTGTCCATCCTAAAATATCGCATTACCTTTTGTCGCCTCAGTCCCTTTCACATTAGGTTTATGGGGCAGTTCGACTCCCTCAAAAAAGGAGAAAATAATACATTAGGACTACTAACGTAATTTACGTTAGGAGTCCAATGGTGGGGTGCCACGTGTTAAGTGGGCCCGACCGCAATATACTCGCAATGGCCAGTGTTAAAAATGGTGGAGCATATTTGACGTGACGCCTCATTATTGGACTCCGAATACATCCGGATCTCTGATGTAATATTTTTTTCTCAGAAAAGAGCCCGATATAACATATTTTGAGCCACCTTTCTTTTCACATCAAAGACACATCATTTTAAGAAAAAAATAGATAATACTAATCAAAATATAATTGGAATGAATTTTAAAACGCTTGAATGTGCATTGAGATTATTGTAATACAAGAATATTTCTTTTTCTAATCATAAATTCATTGAATTAATTAATGGAGTAGGGATGCGATGCTTCAATCCTACTGAAACACGGCAGAAGCGAAAGGATGGCGAAGGAGAGCGAGACCCTCCGAGGATTCGATGTTATTGATGACATAAAGTTGGAGCTGGAGAAGAAGTGCCCAAAAATTGTTTCTTGTGCTGACATTCTTACAGCAGCTGCCCGTGAGGCTACCGTTAAGGTAACTAATCTTCATCCGCAGCGAAATTAAATTTCTGTCATTCATGCTGTTTGGAGCAGTTACAAGCTTAGCAGCTTATTAAATAATTTATTGATGAGTTGATTAAAAATAATATGTTGATAAGTTAGATGCGATATCTATTACAATTAATTTTTTATTCTTTTAGAAAAGTCAAATCCAGTCATAAAGCTGTCACTGCACCTAGATAGGTTCGGTCTGTTTTCAGCGTTTTGAAAACGCATAGAATGCGTAGGGCCTACGTGTGTTTTAAAATGCAAACGCACCAAATAAACTATCCCAAATGAAAAGTAAGCTTAAGAACTCAGTTTTCAATTACTTTTCTTAAGAAATAAAATAAAAAAAGAAGTTTTTTTTGGTTTTTTTCTCAAAAATTGCCATGAACAGATTGGAGGGCCATTCTGGGAAGTTCCGTTTGGGAGGAAAGATGGCAGGGTTTCTCTTGTTTCAGAAGCTGCATCTGTGCCGATGGGACATGAGAATGTAACATATCTCATTGAGTTATTCCAATCCAAGGGTTTGAGTCTGCTTGATCTTGTTGTTCTCTCAGGTACTTAGATTATTTAGCATTTTTTGTGATTATTTTATTTGCTCAATGGATATTTATTAAGAAGGTAAGATAAACTTCATTTTTCTGCATAGATTTTTTTTGCATATTTTTAGATTGTCGTAGTAATTTTAGGATGTGCTAACTCTATTTTATAGAGTTATTATAATTAAAACTAAACTGCTATAGTAAGATAAGTTTTTCTTTCCTATGTAGGGGTGTAAACGACTCGAACACGAGCGAGACCACTCGTGTGTTCGTGTTCGGCACGTTTGCTTAGAGAGCCGAACACGAGCTGTTCACGAACAAAACCGTTTTGACAACTCTAATCTCGTAGCCATAAGATGCTAAGGGTTGGGGCAAGATTTAAAAGTTGTTGTTTATATTAAAACATAATGTGAATCTAATTTAATAATTTTTATTCTATTTTCTTAATTAAGACTTTTAATTGATTATAATTCTTTGTACAGTTGTAGGCAATTAAATTTTAAAAAATCTACTCATCAATATATATATATATATATATATATAATTGATGAGTAGTATTTCGAGCCCGAAACGAATAAATCTTAGTTCATGTTCGGCTCGTTAACTTAGCGAACAAGCCAAACATGAACTTATTAACCAACCGAACAAGAGCTGTTCGCGAACAATGAGCACAGCCTTATTCCTATTGAGTCGCATTTTTTCTGTAGAATTAGGTTCTGTTTTGATCGGTTGACCGTCCGAACAATCAAATCATCCTCCCATGATTACTGTACCATCTATTTGATCCTAAATTTATGCATCCTTTTCATTTTTTTCCTTTTAAGTATTAAATATTACATGCTATCCTAACTAAATCTCCATGAATTTAGGAGCACACACCATTGGAAGGAGCACTTGTGGCTCAATCCAGGATAGAGTGTACAACTTCAAAGGCACCAGAAAACCAGATCCTTCCATTGACACACATTACCTAAACTTCCTAAAGAGGAAATGCAGATGGGCATCAGAATACGTTGAGCTCGATGGCACAACACCTACAAAATTTGATTCTGTTTACTACAAAAATTTAGAAAAAAAGATGGGTTTGCTTTCCACCGATCAATTGCTCAATTCAGATTCGAGAACTTCACCCATTGTTTCTGCTCTGGCAGCTCAGCCAATGCTCTTCTATCAACAGTTTTCAGTGTCTATGACTAATCTGGGGAATGTTCAAGTTCTTACTGGTGATGAGGGGGAGATCAGAACTAAGTGCAGTTCTCTTAACCGCCATTGATTAATCTTCTGGTTTTTCCTATATATAACGTTTCTTTTATGAACTACTGATGGGAGTTAAAATATAGCCGTTGAAAGTATATTTGAATTTTTTTGAATTTACTTTGAGAGTTGAGTGCTGTTTCTGATACTGGCAAGATAGATGGAATGGGAAGAATGGAGCTTGTTGGTTTGAAATATAAAAGTTCTATTCATTTGCTGCAACTTTGAGTATCTCTTGAATTTATCTGACTTGTAAAAACGAATAATATCATGTTTAAGCGAAGCACTTCTCTAAATGAATTATGGCATGCAATTTCATGAGTTCTTAATTTAGTTCAAATCTGTGATCAAACAATAGTTCGGGTTGAATTTAGCATAAGATTGATGAGAACATTCAATGATATCACCTTTCAGTCTAGTGGAAAGATAAATGTATTTTTCCTAATAAATGGATGAAAAAAGAGAAAAATAAAAATGAATTATATAAAATCATGATCAAGCCTTTATAGTTTTTTTTCCCTTAAACATCTTGAATTAGTTCCGATGCTATTATGTCAGATTTCGTTTTGTCTATTATGTGAGAAAATATTAAGTGAGGAGAAAGAATTTAGAGCTATGTGCAAAGGCCAATCCACAAATGCTATGTGTCCAATAATATTTTATTCTAAAAAATTCAATTGAAATGGCCTGGACAATGCAGCCCGATCTAACCGGTCTAGAAAATAGCATTAAATATAAAAATACAAAATATGAGGCATTTGGCGTCTGAGTTCTTTTGGCGTTCCCGATCCTGTAATGATTTAGGATTCAGTATTTTCTCCCCATACTCAAGATTCCTATGGTTTTCCAGGGTTTGGGTTTGGTATTTTCTTCTCTACAGTCAAGATTCCTCTGTTCTCCCAAGGGCAGTCTTCAACATTTTTCCCTACTCTTCTGTTTACTCCTTTATTTTTGCTACCTGACTTTCATCTTAGAGCTCCACTTGTTTTCTGTCTCTTAGATTAGCGATGAAGAAAAGGATAAGTTCAAATTGCAACATAGGATAGTTGAGTGATTGATATTTCACTTTCCTCTTTTGTAAGTACATCCATAAATATGACATGATCTAACAAAAATAAAATTTTAATACTTCAAGACTTTTCTTACAAAAATAAATATTTTTTATTAATATTCTAAAGAAGATCAAATCATGCATCTCACTTTTCTGTGCAACCGTGTTGTATCAGTTGTACCGATATACTTCTCATAATGAAAAAAATATCTTTGTACAACCAATACAACACAATTGTAAAGAGGAACACAGTTACCTGTCATGAAATCTAAACAAATAAAATTTAATAATTCAAGCCTTAGCTTAGGAAAATTTTCATAAGGTCAAGTTATGCATCCATCCTTTTAGTAAAATCTTGTTATATTGGTTGTACGGGCAGATTCGTCCATCATAAGGCTGAAAAATAAACATCATTACAACAAATATAAGAGAAAATTTTGAAGTTCCACTTGTCATTAATTAATAAAATTAAAAAAAAGTAGTTCAATTTAAGAATATTTCTACAGTGAATCCTATGCGACCATATTATTCTGTTTTATTTCCTCATTACAACATTCAAAAATTCATCAAGTCAATAATGTCCATTTATCAACTTGGGGTACCCCATTGATGGTTGCCTTATGCTGAAAGATGAACCAAATTCATGTTAATGTAAATCATCATTAGTATATGATAACAAAACCATGCAATAAAAATATCTCTGTTAAACATTAGGGCTTAATAGAGAAAGGATTTTTTGTTGATGGCTCTTCATGCTCTTTAAATATTATCTTTTTAACTTTATTTTCTATTATATTAACATCGAGTGAGAGATGGCATCAAAACAATCTCAATAGAAAAGTTAAAACAACTAATATAAGGATTACTCTTATATTTCTTTTTCCTCTTTCAATGAGATTTTAATATTATATTGGAAACACTCTTTGGCCACATCTTGGTTTTAGCCACATATCATCATTCTCACTAGCCCTTTTTTCTCTTCAGAGGCCCCAAGTATTAGTTCAACATTATTTGATAACTGCTTCAAGGTGTCTAACATATATTGCTCAGTTTTTTTTGTTATCTTGTGCTTTATAACTTATTTAATACAAATACTTACTGATATGATTTCAGAATATAAAACAAGTGGAAGACCAACTATTCCCTTGAGAATCTTTTTTTTTTAATAAGAACTCTCAATGTATATATTTTTCTCTGCTTTACAAGACCAACTAATTAGGAGATATTTTTATGGGATACTAACAACATGTTGTTGGCACAAATCTTGTAATAATGGACACAAAATAATCCAATCATCTCAAACTTTGAGCAACTGCACTGTATATTGGAACTGTTGTTGTCAAAATGAACAGTCTAAATCTTAAAATTTTCATTATTTTCCACATTTCTAATTATGTATTCTAAAGAGTTGTTCTCACAAATTTCTGTCACTAGTCCACAAGCCCCATGCAGAGATATTTCTTCAAAAAAAGAGTATAAATTTCTTGTGTCGACAGCAACTTGCATAAGTATCAAGCTACACTTGAAAATGGGAGCACTCCCAAATTGGCTACATTTAAAATCCTCATCGTGTTCATTTCTTGTTCAAGTGCCCATGACCTTTTCTAATCCAAAAAAAAAATAATCGGTGTTGGAGCTTGTAGGCTCAGAGTTTTCAAGGAGCACATCATTTGTGAACTCACTGTGTTGTGTTGATTAAATTTTCATACAAAATATATCATTACTAAATGTTGTTGATTAATTGATTTTGATTTTATATAGCTTGCTTAGCTAAGAATTATCATGGAGGTTTCCTTTTTTCATCATCTCAAACCTTTATTGCACCTGCTCCTCTTCCAAATCAAATTTACTCATTCATGTGTAGAATAATATTTGTATTGCCTTATTAATATTGAAGCAATGCACTTTTGAATGAGTCTTCTTATGGATATGCCATTAGCATAAACTATATCGAGTGCGGGGCAATGCAACTTCTGCAATTTTTGTCGTTGCTTGGTCTTCATTAGTGAATTTGTTGAAGGATATTTATAATCTATTGTGCGAATGAAAGTTTTAAATAACTAAGCTAATGATTTAATTGTCTCTTCTTATAAAGTAGCTACTCCAAATAAACTATTTTGTCAATGACAATTAACTCCAACAAAAGAAACACAAACTAACTTATACTTCTTAAGTTAATAACTTGTATAAAAAATTATGACATCTTCAAAGCAGTCATGGTCAACTCTTGCCATGTCATTAGTCAAGAAAAAATTATTCAATCTTTCCGATTCATCAAATTAGACATCTCACCCATATAAACATAATATCTTTAACTTTTCTTTCCTTGAATATTTGCATTACAACATTAGTATTTTTATTCTTAATTCTTTCCATTTTAGCTTTTTATAAGTAATCTTAAACTCTTTTAATTCCATATTAAATTTTATTTAAAGTTCTTTAATCTTTGTTAAATATAAGATTTGTGGGTAAATCATCTTTCGTGGGATAGTTAAATCCCTCATCTCGGGCCTTTCTATGACACATCATCGTTGGATTTTACATGCTAAATTTTAAGCTTAATTCTTCCAACATCAAACTTGGATCCTTCCGTCACTTTAAAATCTCAACTTTGAAAGTTCACTCTTGAAATTGATGTAACTTAAGTTAGAACTTTAATTGAGAGTTTTCTCTAGAATTCACACTTTTAGCTATGAGGGTTTGCTTTTGTAAAGATACTAGACCACATAATAAAATAAACCTTATCTTACATTTGAAAGGTACACTATAGGATGAGCTGGTATTAGTGTCTGAAATTTACGTCAGAATTATTGGACACAAATATTAGTGTTGGATTTGCGTTTGTTAAGCGAAGTATAATAGGTTTTGAACTTTGTGATAGATTTTGATTTTGATTCACTTCAAAAAGTTTAATATAAAAAGTACTCTGAAAATGATGAAACCTTAACTAGAGTTGTAATAATATTGGCATTGAATTTATGTCGAATAAAGCTACAAAAAAAACTTTACTTGTTAGCATCAGAATTTGTCTGAGGCAAATTAGATGGAAATTTGATGCAAATTATCTAAATAACTCATCCCGCTCGCCTCAATTTCACTTCTTTGCGCTTTGTCACTCGGACTTCCCATCTTTCTGAAACCCTCTCATGCTCTCTTGCCCCTTTCCCTCTCCCCTTTCTCTCCCCCTCTCATGTACAGGTTCACTCAAATCATCACCTTCCTGAACAAACCTTTGCGATACAGTCGCCATTAAAGCTAGTTGGGGATGAAATGACTGGATCATGCTTACATAGACCACTGAAACTCCCCTATCCTTCAACTCCGCTCTTATTAGAAAGCATTGAAGAAGGTAAGCCTATTCACAACTTTATTTTCATTCATATATGGTATGCATGTAAAAATTAATGTTTAGGAAATATTTTAGAAAGAGCTTGGATAGCCTAAAGTAGAAAAATTATGGAGAGAGCTCTTCAGCCTTCTCCTCTTCTTTATTCTCTCATTTGATTACTTTAAGTTTATTTAAGTTTGGTGCTGCCTGAAGTAGTGCCTTTGGTCTTCATTTTTATCATTTACTTGATTTCATTGTCATTGTGGAGTCGCCAGTTTGAATTTTATTATATTGCCTTTCTCTCCCCATGCTTCTCAACTTTAGATTATCTTGATGATCTTGAGATATTTGAACTCAGGGAGGAAGAAGGTGGACAATAATAATAGAGTCAAACGAAAGAAGAATGTAGGGGAAAATGCTTTCATGAGGTAAATTTCATGTTGAAGGCCCCAAAGTGTTTGGTTTAAGACACTTTGTAGATACCTTTATGAAAAGAACATATGATCCGCCCCAACAATTATCACAATAATGTAATTCCTGGTAATGACAACAAAAACTTGATCTGCTCCCTAAAAAATTAATTGAGTTAGTAAAATTAGGTATTATTACTCACTGGATTTCTCATGTAAGTATATGTATC